GTGCACTGAGTTATATTTATCTAGAAAAATACGAACATAAATAAATTTATGCTCACAATTTCATTGAAATGTACAGTCAATCATAACTTTAAGAAAAAAAAAAAACTATATTTTCCCACCTCAGGCGTACAAGCGCGAATGTATACTAAAAGTAATAACTGGAAATACTCTTACACTATATTCTGTGTGATAAACACTCGTGCTTATGAATATAGATAAAATAGCGGCAGATTGACTGCTTAAAGGACATACCTCCTATATATACAAAGAAGCCGAGCTCTTCCAATGTACCGAAATGGTCACATGGCTCGAGCTCGTGCACTCCCCCTCTTTGGCTTCTGAACGTTCAATGCTACCACTAAACTGTAGAAAGCCTACCGTCAGAGTAAGGAGGTGTCAACGATTAACTCGTCGCCGTTCAATGCTGTATTGAACGTATACAGTGGAATCTTCCGCCTATGAGAAGTTGCTCTGAACTATCATCAGAGATGAGTAGAGAGATCGCTAACGCCAATGCTACGAGGAGAGGAGTGGAAATGTTGACTCTAGCTATATATCTGAGCGCACAGTCAAAGCAAGCGACGACACGAGTTTCTCTCTTGACAACAACCGAGTATATCGTATACATATTGACTGATTTTTGCCCTCGTTCTTTTTTGTTTTTCTCCTACTTTAAATACTTGTTTTGAAATTCAGTATTATTTTGAAAAAAAAATTTCAGCTTTTTTCTTAGGATGGCAGTTCAGTTATAATCCCTAATTTATTATTTTTTCTCATAGTTGTTATGAATTGTAGGACAAGCTTCGGGAGTTATTAATGAACACAAGTGGCTTTCAGATACCTAAGGATCAAAGTTTCGGTAGCTAAGTTGATTAATGCTTATGCCACCGCTCGAGTTGTTTTGCTATCACGGGATCGATTCCAACTTTCTGCAGATTTTTTTTTAATGCAATTTATTGGCTAACTTAAATTTTCTCTTCTTTTGAAACTTAGTTTAAAATTCAGTATTATTTAAAAAAAAAACTGCAGCTTTTTTTTAAGGATGGAAGTTTAGTTATAATCCCTAATTTATTATTTTTCCTCACAATTGTTCTGAACTGTAGGACAAGCTCCGGAGGTTATTAATGAACATAAGTGGCTTTCAGATACCTAAGGATCAAAGTTTCGGTAGCTAAGTTGATTGATGCTTATGCCGCCGCTCGAATTGTTTTGCTATCACGGGTTCGATTCCAACTTTCTGCAGATTTCTTTTTTTTTAAATGTAGTTCATCGTNTATATTAATTTTTTAATAAAAAAAAAAGCTATAACTTATCAGAGTAATGCAGAATAATAAAGATTTTATTTTTTTAATTACAGTGTTAAGAGTGGTGTTTTTTGTTATTACGTATTTTAAACGATTGTCATGGATAATGAATTATCGTATAAAATATTATAAATCAGAACAGCTTAATTATTTCCTTAAAAAACACACACACACACTCACTATAAACCAATTAATTAAATAACAAGTAGTTGTTACCACAAGGTATAAATTGTAAGGGACGTATAAATTTTGCTGGTAGTAATCATATTTGATGCTATTGTAATAAAAGTGAGTTTTGTTCTCTCATTTGTTAATTGCATGTTTTCACTGATTAAAATTTCAATCTGCAGTAACTGCAGTAGATGGGCGCTGGTGTGATTTTTTTACATTTTACAACGAAAGACGCAAATCAAAATGTTTAGGCAGTTTTTTATAAGTTTTCTTGTGCCTTCGCATTTTTTGTCTCTTAATATATTAGATGTTTATAATTTCTTGTGAGTTTTAAAATGTACAAATTATACTTACATTTTAAGAAATTGATTTCATTATTATGAAATTGCGAAATGGCTTTGTCAACGAGAAGTATCAACTTACTTAGTTGTTGAATAGATTTAGTATAAATAATATGTTCATTTCATCGTGTATAGATTTACATAAAACATAAATAGAAGAAATTCAACCAAAGTGATAAACTGCATTAAAAAAAAAAATGTGCAGAAAGTTGGAATCGATCCCGTGATAGCAAAATAATTCGAGCAGCGGCATAAGCATCGATCAACTTAGCTACCGAAACTTCGATCCTGCGGTATCTGAAAGCCACTTATGTTCATTAATAACCTCCGGAGCTTGTCCTACAATTCATAACAATTATGAGGAAAAAATTATAAATTAGGGATTATAACTGAACTGCCATCCTTAAAAAATAGCTGAAATTTTTTTCAAAATAATACTGAATTTCAAAACAAGTATTAAAAGTAGGGGAAAAAGAAAAAAGAGCGAGAGCAAAAATTAGTTCAATATATATACGATGTACTCAATAGCAGTCAAAAGAGAAAAACTCGTGTCATTGCTTGCTTTGGCTGTGCGCTCAGTTATATAGCTATAGTCAACATTTCCACTCCTCTCCTCGTAGACACACATTCGGTATACCCCTTTAACGTCTCTCCAAAATGTGCGCCTATGTAATCATTTCCACGCGAATCCACTCCTCTTCTCGTAGGCGCACGCTGTTTGATACAAGTAGTAAGATGTGCGCCCGGTTCCAACGTTGACCGCGATGGTCAAAAGTTTGCTGCCAACCGCAACCTTCAGAGCGCTTTTTTATCAGTGCCACCACTGGCTCAGCTGTGAGCTATTGCTGATATAAACATTATATCTATATACAGTTTACAGCGATAGTTCACAGCTTGGCCTTCGGTGGCACTGATAAAGAAGCGCTCTAAAGGTTACGGTTGGCAGCAAACTTTTGACCATAGCGGCCAACGCTGCCCGGTTCGACGGCTAGCCACGGCAGGGCGCTCCGATCAGTGCCAAAAAGTCGTCTCGCATCGTAGCATTGGCGTTATAGTTAAATCATTGGCACGTAATTTTAGGCCAAGACACTTTAACATCAGGGCCCGGGTATTTGAGATCCTGGGACGATTCCTAACCTTTCGTAGATTTAAACTTATAGCCCCAAATTAAGTCCAGCGGAGTTATAGCATAGGAAAGAAAATGACTTTTTTTTAGTAACTTTACCGAACCCAATTGCGGTATTATGAAAGATTATATCTTATTTACATGTCAAAATTTTTTTCCCTGCCGAAACATACGGTTCGGTTCGGAGCAATGAATTGAAAAAAAAATTTTTTTTTTGAACTCACTTTACCGCTTCAAAATTTAATGAACTGTTCATTACAATATTTGAAGTGTACAAAAAAATTCCCTGCCGTTTCTGCTTGACCGTTTCCGAGAAATAAATTTTGCAAAGTGCCGAAAAAATCGATTTTCGAGACCTTTTCGAACAATACCTAAAATAATTAGTTAACATTGTTGAAAATGGCAGGGAGTGCATTAATACCTTTATGGAGTCCCAATAAACTATACGTGTCGTTCCCTGCCATTTTTGATAATATTTACCCCACCTTTGCCCACCCCTAACATTTATAAATTATAGGACTGTAGTGGGGTGGCACATGACGTCATTAAACGTATTGTAAATACATTTTTTTGTACATTTTAAATATTGTAATGAACAGTTCATTAAATTTTGAAGCGGTAAAGTGAGTTCAAAAAAAAAATTTTTTTTTCAATTCATTGCTCATCCGAACCGAACCGTATGTTTCGGCAGGGAAAAAAATTTTGACACGTAAATAAGGTATAATCTTTCATAAAACCGCAATTGGGTTCGGTAAAGTTACTAAAAAAAAAATAATTTTCTTTCCTACGCTATAACTCCGCTGGACTTAATTTGGGGCTATAAGTTTAAATCTACGAAAGGTTAGGAATCGTCCCAGGATCTCAAATACCCGGGCCCTGCCGTTAAAGTGTCTTGGCCTAAAATTACGTGCCATTGCTCTGAATATTAGCAATCTTTTTACTCATCTCTGCTATCATACCTTCAAGAGGTAGTTGAACACAAACAGTCCAATCACTCAGACTGTTTTAGTACCAAATCGTTTTTTGTGTATGTACCTTAATCAAAATACCAAGAAGAAAACGCTTAACATACGCAGTGTTTTGATTATAACTTTTTTACATTAAAATAGCTGTGCAGTTCTTTGATTTGTTGCACCATTTTTCTCGTGGGAGAGAGTGACGTATTCCTTACGTTATACCATTAAATTATCTACTTTAAAGTGCACAATTTTATAAGAGAGGATTTGAAAACATAAACAGTAAATGTAAGGAATTTGTATTTTAGTAAAAAATAACGTAACCAAAACCGAAAACCAATCAGTTTGTATTTTATCTACAATTTGGATTTAGGTCCATACACATATTGTATGATTGTATACGTGGTGCCGATAGATGAGATGAGAAAGAATTCAGTGGCGCTGGTAAAGAAGCACTCTGAAGGTTGCGGTTGTCATCAAGCATCAAACTTTTGACCATCGCGGCCAATGCTGATGAAATATCTGATACTTGCAGAGATGGCGTTAGAGTTGATAAAACGATTGGGATACGAATACGGTTTATTCGAACGCAACCAGTATTGTGCGTACACTATAGAAGCGGCCCCCTTGAGTATTTGCGTAAGCAAAAATATTTCACACACGCTTCGTTTGTTTTTTCGCGTACAACCCCCAGCGCACAGTTTTTCACATGCACTTAAAAATCGGCGTACTCTACGCCAACCCTTGAGCGTGCTGAAACAAACACACCTCCTAGCCATAAATTTCGGCCGAATATATGTCAACATTGGGTACGCGATATAGTTTTTCCAGAAAAATTTTTCTTATTTTGCGTACGCGACAAGTTTATTCATATTCCTTACGCGAAAAGAGGGCAGAGTCTCCGATCCTAGATTGAAGATTCGCATAAGGAATTTTGAAGTTCTCGTGCGCGATTTTAATGTTCGCGTTACTCTACATTGACCGCGTAGTTCGAAAAGCTCATCCTTTTAGCACGGAAAGTAGTGATGTGCAGCACGGCCGAAATTTTATTAGACCTCGAGATTGCCAAGTCAAAAAAAGTTGTTTTTGTTGATTTACGTACTCATATCCAAACTGGGTTAGTAGTGGAACTACAGCAGCAGTTACTCTGAAACATTCAGATATGACAGGAGCATTTGACAGCTCCTCTTCTTTAGAGATGTCCTCCATTATAACGAGACTCTTTAGCAAAGGATGATCAATCTAGATAGAAAGTATTGCATTGGTGTTCAAATTATTTCAAATAGTGTTGTTCAAAGTAATCGTGAAGTAGGAGGTACATACTTTTACAGAAAGTAGGCTTTCCACACCTTTAATTACAGATGTGTCGATAACACCTTTTTCTTTCATTTTAGCTAAAAAAACTGATAATTTTTTGTAAGAAGATTTTTTAACATCTACAGTCTTTTTTACAGGGCAAGCTGTGATGACATGAATTTTAAAAAAAGTTGAGGTTATCATAGGCAAATCTCCTTTTTTCAAACTGATCTTGCAAGCTTTCAAAAAGCAATATTCTAACAACTTATCCATTTCTCTCGCTGGATTTTCAATTATATCTTCAATGTCTTCGCTGCCTAAATATTGCAAAGATAAATTTTTCTCAGACAAATTGGGGGCAAGCACACAACTTGCATCATTATTTCTTTCTCGACTTTCATGAACTTTAGTACAGCTTTCAGAGGTTTCTTTATTTGGATCACTACTACTTTGTTGAGCATATACAATATTAGTTACTGTAGTAACAGACTCAGATTCATGTTTTGATGTCATAGGAGGCCCTAGCTGTGGTCTAGTTAATGATTTTTCTATGTTAAATAGAGTATCACCTACAACATGTAATATTTCGACACATTTTCCAAAGCCAGAACACATGTACATATCTTCACTTGAAAGAGTTGTAATCCCAACTGCCACTGGAGCCTAATAAAATTACAAGAATGTATTGGAAAAAGTTTTCATGGTAATTCAATATTTTTTATGGGAAAAATTTGATAAACATAAGACCTTATTATCATCTGTAACTAAAGCTACAGGATGTCCTTTTTTCAAATTTCCATAAGAATGAAAATTTGGAGGCTTATCAGTAATAACACCTGGCAGCAACAAATTAGCTCCATTGGTCAACTTTGAAACCACCGATGATTGTGTTACAAAAGTATATAGCAAATGAGGATGCTGCCACAGTGTAAAAACCGTGGGTAATAATTCTAAGGAATTTAGTTGAAAAAATACAGGTATTTTGGCAGTACAAAAAATTTTTACAGTTTGACCATTGTGAGCTATTATTTTTAACACACTGACTGCTTCCTTTTTCGGTAACAGACATAAAATTTCTTCATGTTTTAACACTGGAAACACTTGAGCCACCATATCACACAACTTTTTTCTGCAAGAATAGAAATGTTACCACTAATTTTTATTAAAGTTATAAAATAATTTGATACATGTGTTTCCAGTAACAAAATTAATTACACTGGTATTAGCATTCTAGAATAAACTACCTTTCTGTTCCTTTTAGTTGGTTATTCGATTTTATTTTAAAAGCTTTAACAAACATTATGTTTCAGTACTTATTCCATTGAATCAATTACTGAAGAATATATTCAACACCATCAACTTTTTTGTGTAAAAATCCGGGTATTGCTACTACAGAGTGGTTCGTTTGATAAGTTCCCAGACTTTCAAGACATGCGAGCATTCTGAGCACTTTAGGCTGCAGTCACATAGAGCGCAATGCAATAGAAAGTGCAGGTGTAAAGGTGTTATGAGTATGACCAGAGTTGGGTTCGGCGGATTCAATATCGGAACTTCTTCCCTAGATCGTTTATATAGCTATATGATCTAGGGAGAATGTTCCGTCGAGCAGACAGCACACACTCACAGAGTGAAGGGGCATTGCCAAAGACACGCGGAAATTAAAAATTGTAATATTAATAACACAAGTGCCTATCAACCAATGACCCAGGGCGCTAACTGGCCTCTCTATTAAATAATAAAGTATTAATTATTAACACAAGCGCCTATCACCCGATGACCCAGGGTGCTTACTGGCCACTCTGTTAAATAATAAAATATTAATTATTAACACAAACGCCTATCACC